GCGACGGGGCCGCTAAGGGCGGCGCGAGGGGCCGTAAAGAGCCGCAAGGGCGACGCGAGGGGCCGACGGGCGGCGCGAGGGGCCGACGGGCGGCGCGAGGGGCCGACGGGTGGCGCGAGGGGCCGTAAGGGGCCGTAAGGGCGGCGCGAGGGGCCGTGAGGGGCCGTGAGAGGGCGCGATGGTAGGGAGGGCACACGGGGCGCGACTCGGGCAGGAGCAAAGTGCGCTCCGGGCAGGAAAAAAAATCGTGGTGGGCCCTAGGAAGCGTTCCCACTAGGGAACCTGCTCTATACCATGTGAAAAAATGAGGAATGAAGAAGAGAGGGGGTTGCACTAGCAGCAGTTGGCATACATATAGGAAACCCTAATTGGGTTGTACTCGCTATAGAGTACCCCACTGCAGGCTAGACAATTATAACATTCTGACAACCGACACCAATAGACAGGACATCGAGAAGTTGTGTGCAGCTGTACCACCTGATTTAGCGGAGCCGATTCGATAGTACCCCGACATTTTCCCCAACGATCTGCCACCTGGACTACCACCCGAACGACCCGAGGACCACAGGATTCAGTTGGAACCTGGCGCGCAACCGAATGTTCGTACATAGTGACGGTTGTCCCAACCGAAACTCGAGGAGCTGCGAAGCCAAATTGATGGCTTGTTGGAGAAGGGGTTTATCCGACCCAGTACATCTCCCTTCGCGGCCTCGATCCCGTTCACACCGAAACAAGACGACGGGCTTCGCATGTATATTGTCTATCACGCGCTCAACCGGGTTACAATCAAAACTCGCTAACCCATCCCACGTACCAACGACCTCCTCGACCAACTTCGTGGCACTTGCTACTTTTCGAAAATCGACTTACGTGGCGGTTACCATCAGATTCGGGTCTTTGCCAACGATTGTCAGCTGATTGATCATATGAGCATCTGAGTGACCATGTGAGCGGCCCCGGTACCGCACTTGTCAGCTCTGCAACCTTTTAACGCTGTAGTCTGCAAGTATTTTCTGAGCTTCCAACCTTCAACCGCCTCCACGCAATCATTGTATTGTATCCCAGTCACTATCATCTCAACCCCGTGTGCGTGTGCATGCCAAATGGCTTGTGTGCATGCCAAATTAATTGTGTGCATGCCAAATGACTTGTGTGCATGCCAAATGACCTGTGTGCATGCCAAATGACTCGTGTGCATACCAAATGACTTGTGTGCATGCTAAATGACTTGTGTGCATGCCAAATGACGTGTGTGCATGCCAAATGACTTGTGTGTATGCCAAATGACATTTGTGCATGCTAAATGACTTGTGTGCTTGCTAAATGACTTGTGTGCATGCTAAATGACTTTTGTGCATGCCAAATAACTTGTGTGCATGCCAAATCACTTGTGTGCATGCCAAGTGACTTGTGTGCATGCCAAATGAGTTGTGTGCATGCCAAATCACCTGTGTGCATGCCAAATGACTTGTGTGCATGCCAAATGACTTGTGTGGACGCCATGGGAAAGGCTAGCTGGGTGCAAGAGCGGTAGGCTCGGAGCGACTGGAACGAGGAATGGCTGGAGTACGGAGCAAACTGAGCTAGGAGCGAGGAGCAAGAACAGCTAGGAGCGCTAGGTGAAACTAGGCGAGGAACGGTCGGAGCACTGAGCAAACCAAGCTAGAAGCGAGGAGTGATAACAGCAAGGAGGGCCAGGTGAAACTAGGCGGGGAATGGCCGGAGCACTAAGCAAACTGAGCTAGGAGCAAGTGGAATGGGGAACGGCTGGAGTGAGGCACAGCTGGAGCAAGGCACGGCTGGAGCAAGGCACGGCTGGAGCAAGGCACAGCTGGAGCAAGGCACGGCTAGAACAAGGCACGGCTGGAGCAAGGCACGGCTGAAGCAAGGCACGGTTTGAGCGATACTAGGAACTAACGACGAAGAGACACCGGCCTAGGAACAGTCGGCTAGGCAAGGCGGGCTAGGAACGTCAGTCGAGGCACAAACTGAAACTACACCAGGAAAGGTGATTGGGGCTGCCCGCCGCCGTTAGGGATGCAAAAGGCAGGAGGCGTGCACGAGACAATGGGCATTGGTGGTATGGCTCTGGGCGGCAGTAGGTGGAAAATGGGCGTAATAAGGTGGTGGAGGCGACTAGGAGGAGTTGTGGGCGGCTAGGATGAACTATGGGCAGCTGGAAAAGGTTTTGGGTGGCTGGTGTCTGCTGCTGGCGGCAATGACCAGCTAGTGCTTCTCGCGCTAGCGTTTCTGCTGGCTGCGTGTAATGCAGCCGTGCGTTGCTGCGTTCGGGCAGCAGCGGAGCGTGGTGTGCGCAGCGCTAGCTCCACTCCCATGTCACCCCCCTAGCACCAGACTATCCCCCACTGTCGCAGACCCCCTTTCACACACCCCCTGCTGCACCCCTAGCTCCACTCCCATGTCACCCCCCTAGCACCACTCCCTCGGCTCCCACACATCCACCCCCTCAGCGGCAGCTGCAGCAGTGGGAGACGAAGAAGGAGGAGGTGCAAGTGGCGACGCACATACCCACCACCCCCATACCCGCCACCCCGCAGTTGCACAAGGGCAGGAGGCAGCAGGGGCGGCTCGCGGGCTGCAGGGGCGGCTCGCGTGGGCTGCAGGGGCGGTTCGCGGGCTGCAGGGGCAGTTCGCGGGCTGCAGGAGGGGCAGCGCGCGGGCCCCCAAGGGCGCCACGACGGGCGACGGGAGGGGGGCCGCGCGCAGGCCCCCGAGGGCGCCTCGACGGGCGACGGGAGGGGAGCGACACGTGGGCCCCCAAGGCGCCGCGACGAGGCGACGGGAGGGGGCGGCGCGCGGGCCCCCAAGGTGCCGCGACGAGGCGACGGGAGGGAGGGGCGGCGCGCGGGCCCCCAAGACGCCGCGACGAGGCGACGGGAGGGGTCCGCGCGCAGGCCCCCAGGGCGTCGCGACGAGGCGACGGGAGGGGGGGGCGGTGCGCGGGTCGACGGGGTAGGAAACCGCCGCGCGCCTTGGGGCGCACGGCGGGCAGAAAACCGCCGCGCGCTCGGAGCGCGCGACGGGCAGAAAACCGCCATGCACCCCTAGCGCGTGGCGGGAAGAAAAAACGTCGCGCGCCACGGGGTTCGCGACAAACAGGACAGCAGCGGAAGCAGGTGGTGGGCCCACCCACAGGATCGACCAGGGAGGGTCGACCTGCTCTGATAGCATGTTAGAATAACAAGTTTAGAACAGAAAAAGGAGGGTATGCACTAGCAGGGAGTTGAGTACAAATAGGAAACCCTAATCTGGGCTGTACTCGCTATAGAGTACCCCACTGCAGGCTAGACAAATATAACATTCTGACACACACACACACACCTGGCTTCTCCGTTTTTCCCTAATGCTGTCATAGCGACGCGCTCTCTGCTGCCTTAGTGGGGCACTCACTGCTCCGCACCTCAATCCCCCATGCTGCCCACCTCAATCCCCCATGCTCCCCACCTCAATCCACGATGCTCCCCTCCTCAATCCCCCATGCTCCACACATCAGTCCCCCTTGCTCCCCACCTCAATCCCCACCCTACACCACTGTCGACACCTTACTCTCTCCCACAGCCACTTCAGCCGCCCTTCTCCCCGATGTACCCCACCTCTTATAGTGCCGAATCCTGTATGGGCTCTTCAGTGTCCTGGCCCACTCCATTTTGTCTCCATCTCACCCCCGTCTGACTACCACCCCTCTGTTTCGCACCCTCTGCCAGTCATGGCCCGACGTGTGCGCAGACGCACAGGTCAACCACCTGAAGTGCATCACCCTGAGTGGTGTTGGAGGCTGAGTGCATTTGAGAATAAGTATCAAAGCAGGCTACGGTGCTTGAGCAATGGGGTGCCGAGTGGCTTGGGTTGAGGTCTGAGAGTGAGTTACAACATGGGAGGGCGACAGTTGAGAACATTTTACGAGTGTGTTGTGGGGGCAATACCCCAAACAGTTGCATGGGTCAACCGTTGCTGCCCAAAAATCATCGCTTCCGCTGCTATGTCACACACTCCAGCTTGCTTGGTGACCACCCTTTTGCAAAGGTTCGATTGCCCTGGCTGATATATGTCGTGATCAGCTCACTATATCCAGAAAGTGGTGATGGCCGTTACGAGCATTGCAATCCAGGGGACATTGAGCACTTCATTAGTCAGTGGGTGGTGCCGGATGTCATTGACTTTGAGATTGATAGTTGGGGTAGTTGAGCGAATGACGTTGTTCATGCGTGGCTGCGTCCACTCCTGCCGTAAACGCTGCCCTGATGCCATCTCCCCGCACCCCTTGACCACAAGCATACATGAATTTAACACATAATCTGCCCCCAATACATGTGACACACCATAGAAGCTCAACAATGATTCATACCTGCGCCTTTTGCAGCTTCCAGTAGATGCTCCACCAAAGTTGGCGCGGCTTCTATTAACAAAAGTACCATGTCACTATCCCGAGGAACCGAGCCACCACCCATAAGACTTGCTAACCCGCATCGTAGGATGGCCCATGGTGCAGTCAAATGGCCGCCAAGTGAAAGCTTCCTTTTGTTTAGCATACCATTCAGGGCCAACCCCGCCGAGGTGTTCAAAGTACCGGCCTCACCCTCTGTATCAGACATCTTGGCCCAACCCTACGTAGGAATCATTGTTGTGTAGTGTAATAAATGATGGGCAATAGGAGGGGGGGGAGGAAAATGGGGGTTGTGCTGAGAGAAAAACTTGTCATGGAGTGGCAGCAAACCCATTACAATCACTTTATAGGTTCAGTGAATGTTTGAGAATGGCAACAGTGTCATGGGATGGCAGCAGAAGGTGCAAACATCTGGCTGCTGCTAGATTCAACAAATGACAGCATAGAGGACCCAGGAATGGCAGCACATAGCCCAATTCTATGTCTGCAGTGTGTGGAACACAATGGCCACTGAGCTTTACATGCATAGGCAGCAGTAAGAGTAATGAACCGGTGGCAGTGAGTGTAATGTAACAGCAGCTGTGAGCATAAAGGAATGGCAGCATTGACTGTATTGGGAAGGCAGCACATGGTGAAATATGACTGTAGCAGTGTATGGGACAGGGCATGGGGGAACATGGAATGGGGGGACATGGCATGGGGGAACATGGAATGAGGGGACAGGGCGTAGGGGAACATGGAATGGGGGGACAGGACGTGGGGGAACATGGAATGGGGGGACAGGGCGTGGGGGAACATGGAATGGGGGGACAGGGCATGGGAGAACATGGAATGGGGGGACAGGGAATGGGGGGACAGGGAATGGGGGAACATGGAATGGGGGGACAGGGAATGGGGGAACAGGGAATGGGGGAACAGGGAATGCGGGAGCAGGGAATGGGGGAGCAGGGGATGGGGGAACAGAGAATGGGGGAACGGGGAATGGGCAAGCAGAGAACGTGGGGACAGGGAATGGGGGAGCAAGGAATGGGGGAGCAGGGATGTCCCACTCAGGAAATGGGAGGACAGGGAAACGGGGGACAGGGAATTGGGGAGCGGGGAATGGGGGAACAGGGAATGCGGGAGCAGGGAATGGGGGAGCAGGGGATGGGGGAAAGGGGGATGGGGAACAGGGAACGGGGAATGGGCGAGCAGAGAATGTGGGGACAGGGAATGGGGGAGCAGGGAATGGGGGAGCAGGGAATGGGGTTGCACGAGATGGGGGAGCGGGGGATGGAGGTACAGGGGATGGGGGAACATGGCAGTAGTGAGTGAATCACAAAGGATGCAGTGGGAGAATGACTACGGCTCGTGTAATTGAATCTTGTTTGGAACTGTGTGTACACCCAGGATTGGACATTGAGTGCAAGAACAAGGCAGTGTTACAAACAAGAGGGCTGTAGTCAGTGAGATCGACTAAAACCTCAATGAGAGGCAGTTGAGTTGCGGGCCTAACCTGGCAAGAAGATCTTGTTACGAACGTAGCTTATCGCCCCACCGCTGTCAGTTGAGGAGGTGAGAGTGATCTTAGTGGGGTTCCTACAGGCAACTGGGGGTTGGTGTGGGAGGTGAGAGTGATTTCAGAAGAATGAATCGGGCAGCATAAGAATGCATGAACGCTGGATAAAAGGTGACATTCTATTGCGTACCGGGAGTGAGGGATCAGGGAATGAGGGATCAGGGTATGGGGAATTAGGGAATGGGGGAGGGCGTAATGGGGGAGCAGGGAATGGGGGAGCAGAGAATGGGGGAACAGGGAATGGGGGAGCAGGGAATGGGGGAGAGGGGAATGGGGGAGAGGGGAATGGGGGAGAGGGGAATGGGGGAGAGGGGAATGGGGGAGAGGGGAATTGGTGGGCGGGGAATGTGGGTCCAACATGGGAATGGGGGAGCAGGGATTTCCCACTCAGGGAATTGGGGGACATGGAAACTGGGGACTTGAAATTGGGGAGCAGGGAATGGGGGAGCAGGGAATGGGGGAGCAGGGAATGGGGGAGCAGGGAATGGGGGAGCAGGGAATGGGGGAACAGGGAATGGGGGAGCAGGGAATGGGGGAGCAGGGAATGGGGGAGCAGGGAATGGGGGAGCAGGGAATGGGGGGACGGGGAATCGGGGGACAGGGAATGGGGAAGCAGGGAATGGGGGAGCAGGGAATGGGGGAACAGGGAATAGGGGAGCAAGGAATGGGGGGACAGGGAATGGGGGGACAGCGAATGGGGGAGCAGGGAATGGGGGGACAGGGAATGGGGGAACATGGAATGGGGGAGGGGGGAATGGGGGAACAGGGAAATGGGGGGGCAGGCATTTGGGGGACAGGGATTGGGGGAGCGGCTCAAAAGGGAAACAGGGAATGGGGGAGCAGGGAATGGAGGAGCAGGGAATGGGGGAGCAGGGAATGGGGGAGCAGGGAATCGGGGAACATGGAATGGGGGAACAGGGAATGGGGGGACGGGGAATTGGCGGACATGGAATGGGGGAACAGGGAATGGGAGAATTGGGAATGGGGGAGCAGGGAATGGGGGGGCAGGGAATGGGGGAGCGGGGAATGGGGGAGCAGGAATGGGGGAGAAAGGCTGAAAGGGAGCAGGGAATAAGGGGACAGGGAATGGGGGTGCGGGAACTGGGGGACAGGGAATGGGGGAACTGGGTATGGGGGAACAGGGAATGAGGGGGCAGGGAATGGAGGAACAGGGTATGGGGGAACAGGGAATGAGGGGGCAGGGAATGGGGGAACAAGGTATGGGGGAACAGGGAAGAGGGGGCAGGGAATGGGGAACAGGGTATGGGGGAATAGGGAATGAGGGGGCAGGGAATGGGGGAACAGGGAATGAGGGGGCAGGGAATGGGGGAACAAGGTATGGGGGAACAGGGAATGGTGAAAGGGGAGCATGCGGTTGTGGGACTCGGGGATGGTGACGTCACTGTTGGGGATACTGGACAGCTGAGCAAGGCGCAGCTATTCGAGCGTCTGCTGCACGTCAGACTGACCCTTAATACTGACGCGGCGTCTGCTGCGTCGGCTTTTCAGGCGCCTGCTGCCCGTAATACTGACGCCCATTAGCATTTCGCGCGAATGCTGCCCACCAGACTGACGCGGTTGTGCATTTCCGCCATGCGCGCGCATGCTGCCCGTTAGACAGGGACAGCAGTTCGCGCGCCCGCTGAGCAGTTCGCGCCTGCTGCCCGTCAGACAGGCGCATTCCGCCATGCGCGCGAATGCTGCTCGTCAGACAGAGACGGGCAGCATTTCGCTCGACTGCCGCCCATCTCCCGGTCTCCTTGGCTTACCCGGTCTCCCAACTGCTTCAGATAGATAGAGTTGCAATCACTGGTGAAGGTCCCTGTCGTGTAGGTCTGTAGCGGCGATGCTGCACCCCTATTTGGTCGACCTAACTCCTGCACGTCTGTGTCACTGTCACCCTATAGTATTCATGAAATGCGTACAATAGCTGAAGAGTCGGTCAAATAGCGAAGGCATAGGCGATCCCGCGGCAGGCGCTCCACGTCAGACGGGAAACTCGTCCGAAGCTAGTGGACGACTACTTCCCTGCTTCCGACGGTGGACTAATTTACGTTATTAGCTGTGGACGGCAGCGTTCGGAAGGGAGGCGGTGTCAAGATAGCAAGCAGGGATGATTGCATAGAATGAAATGAGGGTAGAAGTACTAACCCTAACTTCGGGTTGTACCCCATATGCAGGCCCTCAGAAGTCAGACTTTTTTGACTGATTTGGCCAAAAAACTGATATTTCAATTTTTTTTTTCAGTGTACTCTGTAAATTTCAGACTTTTTAGGGCCTCAACTCTGAAAGTTTCAGACTTTTTTTAAGGCTAACTCTGAAATTTCAGAGTTTTCCGGGAGTGTACTCTGATCATTCAGAGTACAAACACGATCTTCACTGGTGATTCGGACTTCACGGGTCACAGCAGATTTGCATTTCCAACGCAGAATCGCCTTGGCACAGCAAATCCGCGCCTTACAGCACAAAATTTCGCCCAATCACAGAAAAATCGCCCTGCGACCACAGATTTGTGCCGTCAGAGCACAACTTCTTCGTCCAATCACAGAACGATTCCACCTGACATTGCAGGTTCGCCCTTTCACACCACAAGATTCACCCTGACACAAAAATTCGCCCTGTCAGAGCATGTTCTCCCGGAAATCCCCTTAGTCTTGCACGTTTTGGTAATAGATGAATGAAACATTGAATACATTGATTTCGGACAAAAACTGAAACTGAAAATTCGGACTTTTTTTTAATGCCAACTCTGAGAGTTTCAGACAAAAACTGTGTACTAGTCTGACGAATCAGACACGCTAAAAACAAATCTGAGGGCCTGCCCATATGGGCACCCCACTATAGCCTACACAGAACTAACACATATATAGTTTGACACACCCCCATAGGCAAAGTGGGGGAGAACAAAGGGTCACAAGACCAGTCAAGAAAAGCAAATCAAGCTCGGGGTGGATCACAGCTTCACCACACACTCAAGCACAAGCAAAGGGCCACAAGGCCAGGTCACATGCAGAGGTATATATGCAGCAACAATAGTACGGTGATCACTACCTAGCAAGAGCAAGCATGCAGGTATATATATAGATCACAGTACAAGCAAAGTCACGAAGTGAGCAATTGAGACGAAACAGGCACAAGGCCTAACATAGTACAGAAGCGTTGATGATCACCAGACGGAAGTGCCTTGGTGAATATATCAGCAGTGTTGGCCCGAGTGGCCACGTGAGCAAGACGAAGCTGACTACGCTGCTGCAACTCTCGAGCCCGGAAGTAACGCAGAGCGATGTGCTTCTATCTGTGCTCCAGTCTGTGCTCCTGGCACAATGCAATGGCGGCCTTGTTGTCTACGTACAGAACTGGAGGAGAACGAGGCCGCTCTCCCAAGTCAGTCAGCAAGTAGGTGAGCCAGCGTAACTCCTGTGCAGCCATGGCTGTGGCGTAGATCTCAGCCTCACAACTGGAGCTAAGAACAGAATGTCAGAATTATATTCTTATACCTGCATATAGTTCTAGCTGTAGTGTAGATATTAACTTTATAGGTGGTGCACCTCTTTGTTTGCTGTATGTACCCTAGGGCTATAGTGAACATTCATTCTCCTCTCATCTCTCAACTCTCCCTCCTTGGCACAAACTAGCTCGACCCCCTTTGGCCTAGGCTACTAAGCCTAGGCCCACTTAAACCTAACTACCTACTCCTACTATTCTGATATGGTATTAGAGCCTGTTAAGTCCTGACCTGTGGGCCAGCCTCTCGCTTCCGCTGCTGTTTTTCCTGTCGCGCGCCTTGGGCGCGTGGCGATTTTCGTTCTGTCCCGCGCCCGGGTGGCGCGTGACGTTTTTTCTGCCCGTCGCGGACCCGCCCCTGGCGCCCGCGACGGCGCCCTGAGCCGCCGCGGACCCGCCCCTGGCGCTTGCGACGGTGCCCTGAGCCGCCGCGGATCCGCCCCTAGCGCCCGCGACGGTGCCCTGAGCCGCCGCGGACCCGCCCCTGGCGCCCGCGACGGTGCCCTGAGCCGCCGCGGACCCGCCCCTGGCGCCCGCGACGGTGCCCTGAGCCGCCGCGGACCCGCCCCTGGCGCCCGCGACGGTGCCCTGAGCCGCCGCGGACCCGCCCCTGGCGCCCGCGACGGTGCCCTGAGCCGCCGCGGACCCGCCCCTGGCGCCCGCGACGGTGCCCTGAGCCGTCGCGGACCCGCCCCTGGCGCCCGCGACGGTGCCCTGAGCCGCCGCGGACCCGCCCCTGGCGCCCGTGACAGTGCCCTACGCCGCCGCGGACCCGCCCCTGGCGCCCGCGACGGTGCCCTGAGCCGCTGCGGACCCGCCCCTGGCGCCCGCGACGGCACCTCTACCTCACCCCGCGCCTGCGCTCGCTGCAGCCGCCCCTGCCCTACCCGCGCCAACCCTTTGTAGCCGCTCTGTGGCTTTATCCCCCCCCCCACCCCCCTTCGTCTCCCTGCAGCCGTGGGGGGGAGCTCTGGGGGTGGCGGGTGTGGGGGTGATGGGTGGTGTGTTTCCCTTCCCCTCCTCCTCCTTTCGTTCCCACTGCTGCAGCTGCCGCTGGGGGGGAGGTGTGAGGGTGTGGGGGAGCCAGGGGAGTGGCACTGGGGTGGCGGGTGTGAGACCAACCAGCCGCCGTCCCTCTGAGGTGGGGGGGGGGGGGGGGGGAGGAGAGTAAAGGGGTGGCAGGAGTGCCTTCCCCTTTGCTGTTGTACCTGCTCTGTTGCCTTGCCTGCTGTTGCTGTTTTCTCTGTCTGTGGTGTACCCCTGCATGTTGTGTTCTGCACTTAGCTATTCCTGCATGCAGTTACGGGGGGATGTCAGAATTATATTCATATACCTGCATGTAGTTCTAGCTGTAGTGTAGATATTAACTTTATAGGTGGTGTGCCTCTTTGTTTGCTGTATGTACCCTAATGCTATAATGAACATTCATTCTCCTCTCATCTCTCAACTCACCCTCCTTGGCACAAACTAGCTCGACCCCCTTTGGCCTAGGCTACTAAGCCTAACTACCTACTCCTACTATTCTAATACAGAAGACGAGCGGGTAGACCCCCAAGAAACAGAGCCGCAGCCAAGGTTGAAATTGTAACCCTGTGACGACCGCTGCGTAGCCAGGTCGTCAACCCAAGAAGCGTCTGAGTGTCCAGTAAGGACAACTGAGCTCCGCCCTCCAAGCACGAGCCCCATGCCCGATGTACTGCACAAGTAGCGCAGTACCCTCTTCGCAGCATCCATGTGCACCTTTCGGTGCCTACCAGGAGCCACGTAGCGTGCCACAAGGCCAAGAAAGGTCAGGACGAGTGCAGGTCATCAGGTACAAGAGGCAGCCCACTAGCTCTGGGTATGGGCCACTCGGCTCTACGGACTCGTCCGAAGGTGGAGCTGAAAGCGAGTGACCTGTAGCCAGAGGAGAGGACTATGGCGAGGACCAAGTGAAGCCGAAGCGCTGAAGGACCTGCTGCACCATGTGTGATTGAGTCAGGGTGATGGTGCGCCGTGCTCTGTCCCGGGTGATCTGCAAGCCAAGGTAGCTGCGCAGCTCACCCAAGTCTGTGCACGTGTGTCTCTTTTGCAGCTCTGACTTGACAAGGGTGAGAGCCTCAGTCTCAGCAGTGGCAAAGACCAAGTCGTCGACGTACACGAGGATATAGAACGGCGAAAGTGAAGTGTCGGTGCGTAGAAACAGCGACGGGTCAGTAGTGGAAGGGGCAAACCCAAGAGCCGCAAGTGTCGTCCTCAGTGTGTCGTGCCACTCACGAGGCGCCTTGACGGAGACCATAGACTGGTCGACGGAGCCTCCACTGGGTACCAGGAGGGAACGACCCAGTGAAGCCAGGCGGGTGGCGCAGCCGGATCTCCTCGTGCAGACTGCCCTGTAAGAACGCAGTGCTGATGTCCAGAGGGTGAAGCTCGTAGTCACGCTGAGCGGCAACGTGCAACAGCACCCAAAGACTGGTCATCTTCGGGGTGGGGGAGAAGGTCTGGGGAGTGGTCAACTCCCTGTCGCTGACTGAAGCCTCGTGCAACGTAACGAGCCTTGAAGACAGGCGGAGAACCCGGCGGGCGCTTCACCCTAAAAATCCACATGCCATCGACGATGTTCGCCCCAAGAGGGGGAACTGTTGATTGCACAGGTGGTTGTGGTATTTTGCTCTAGCTGGTTGTGGGCTAAGGGTTCGGGCAAAATGTGGTGGTTAGACTTGTTGCGGGCTGGAATTGATCTCGCACCCAACAAGCACCAACAAAGCTTTGCTATTCACTATAACACCTTTGGTGTTGCTAGTTTAGCACTTTGGCTTGTTGGGGATTGTTGTAGGTCGAGGGTTGGGTTGGTAGGGTTTGAACAACTCGTCACTTTTCAGATCTGAACTCTTGCTAAAGCTACTTTCTTGATCTAATCCATGGCTGCCAAGTAATTTCGCCAGGATACCCCGTCGCACTTAGATCGCGATAGCGATCGGCCTAGATCTTGGTTGAAGGCGTGCGTTACCATTCTGGAAAGTAGAGATTAAGCCCTTTCCAACTCGTACCTGCTCATA